ATTTCTAGCAGTGAGGCAAAGTATAGTGAAGCTACTTATCTTAAATATTTTGTCATTTGGAGCGGAGTTGAATTGGTTTTCAATGCTTGAAGTTAATCGTTGTAAATCAAGTCTCCTAGTTGGGTGCAGGCTGATTTCTCAGTCAATATGAATAGTGCCATGTCATAGTAATTCAACCTTAAAACAAAGTTAGCTGCAATTCCCTAATTTTGTCTGGGATTTGTAACATGTAAACAGATCATGTGCAGTTGTCCAGGGGTTCTGGGGAGAATGGTTGTAAACTCCTGCTGGTTTACCTAATGCAGACAGGATTCTGTGTTGTCTACTGCCATCTGCTTTCATCAAGAAACAGAAATATAGACCATTTGGTGTGGAACATCAGGCAAAGCTATAAATAACTTAGAGCATGATGGTTGACTTCTGAATCTCTGCAACTCACTGATTTTTATTTCCTTTGATTGAAATGTGAAACAAGGTGATCATAAAGCCAAGATCTAATTGAAGTGATTTTGAATATTTGCATTTTGCTTTGTTTAGAATAATTTGAAATATAAACACAACATCCATACATATGCGTGCATCTAGGACAACATACAATTGTGGTATACCAGTTCTGAGGAAAGGTCACCGGACCCGAAACGTTAACTCTGTGTTCTCCTTCACTGATGCTGCCAGACCTGCTGAGCTTTTCCAGCAACTTTGTTTTTGTTCGTGAATTGTGGTATACTAATGGGCTGTTGTACCATTCTTTTTTTAAAGAAGGTCAGCTAAGACCATCCACATGTGGAAAAGTCAGTTTGGTTATATCCTGTTAATCTAAGGTTGATTTCTGTCTTGTAATTTTTTTCAAATAAAAAGTTGTTTTACATTTATCCTTGCTCAATTTGCCATTTTTCTTTTTCTGTTTGGGCCCTGGGGTTAGGCAGAGATAGAACTTTAACTCTTTCCAAATGATTAAGCTGGAAATGGCATCAGAATTTATTGTACTAATACAGGGATTAATTTTGTTCTCATGTACTCTGTATGTTAACTGGGATCATACGTCTCGGGAATGCTTGCAGATAGCACTTGACTATTTTAAATGGGATGTAAAAACTTTGGTTTGATTTAATGTAAAGGTTACAGGCCAACAATGCATCAGCGCAGTTCTCCTGTCACCGTGGTATACTCTCAGTTTTGCATCCAAAGGGGAATAGCATGAAAGGACTTGCAAGTGAATAGGTCCTTGTTCAGCCTGTCTGGGACAGTCTACATTATGTAAAATTCCTGGGTAGATTCCACAGGGAGCATTGCTGGGTCTGCAACTGTTCACCATATA